TGTGGAAGGCGGTTCACTTTACGGCACCAGCAAGCATAATTGCGTTTTTACGAGGCGACACCGGGCGGTTTCTTTTTGTTACCTGTGCTCTAGGTGAAACTCGTTTGAATTTTACAACGTTGTAACAATACTGATTCTGCGTAATTCTATTGCCTGCGTACAGGCGACTTGCATACTTACGCGAAAAAACGCGCGACGCTGCATACCATTTTAAGGCTTTGCCTGAAGTTTACTATCTCCATGAAAATATTACTGACCAGCGTTTTACTTTCTACTCTTAATTCTTGCGATTTAAAATCCCTTTCGGTATTAAATGCCCAAAAATGCGGCTAGGTAAAATGCAATGTGCTTAAATTTAAATAAATAAGTTATAAAGTTATCGGTTAAATATTGAAGTCACCAATATTGTTGTAAGTAATAGTATCTAATTAAGAAATAATAAACATGCTTAGGGTGATGATTAGCGTGATTGTGTTACATAAATTGAATTTAATATTATTATTAATTATAGTATCTATCTTCTTATTTAATTATATTGAATTTAGATGTCAAATTATAAACTAAGTACATAGTTACGAGAAGCCGGTTATAAATTTCATGCCGACATTTAAGGACTCACGGTATCTGTACGGCGAATCACGCTGCCTTTCGCGGTCCCGGAAGTCATAATGATAGTTCAGACTAGAGTCATCCCTGGTGTTGCCGAAAGTATAATCAGGGGAGGCGTAGAAATAGCTGGGTCGACTCGTTCCCCTCGGGGGCATCGACAGGCGTCGGTACGATAACCATCCGCTTCTCTCCACATCGTTGCTCCTTTTCTTTCTCGTCATGGCATGTCTGGAAGCATAATGACGTAAGCCGATTAAGCGAAAACGATAATTAATCTGTCAGAGAAAAGTCGAGACCGTCAAAGATGCAACGTTTATCTGCCGGATAATCGTATTATGGACGCAGACGGATTACGAACGCCTTTTCTTCCGAACGTTGCGTAAACGCAGAAAAAGCGATCCGTAAAATACTGTTATGTCAGATATAATCTTGTTGTTAGTACGTAGATACTTACAAGCATGCATGCGTGCGAAATGTTCGTTTAAAATAATAAAAGAATAAAATAATGTAATATTTATTGCGCGATGATTATATATTATGTAATCAGAATTCAATGTTTCTGAAATTTATACATGAATATTAATAATTAGATAAAAAATGAAGGCGTTCGGCGAAGACGATCGTAGCCGTCGCCGACGGTTCGAGTTACACGCGATAACGTCGTCTATAATCTCTAGAGTCAGCATTTATTTTGTCGTCGCGCTCTTCGGGAGAAGACTGAAACCGGTCTTAGTACGTTTTCAAGAAGTGTGTAAAATTAATAAAATAATTAGTAATCTATGTCTTGTCATTGCCATATATTTGCACGTGTTACAAAAAGAAAATAATTTAATTAATTAATTAAGCTAAAATAATTTAATTAATTAATAAAGCTAAATGAATTAATCTATTACCTTAATTAATTTCTAAAATTTGTATAATTTGATTTAAGTTTAAGTCAGAAATGGCAAAACACACAAATATAGCGTAAGCTATAATTTCAATAACCTTAATTCGATCAATTCTCAGCGCACGCTTTTTTATTCAACAAAACGCTACGATAATTGCGTCAATATGCCACAATAATTTCGCGATTACGCACGCGAAATGTTACTCAATGCAAAAACGCATTCCGTTGACAAAATCATAAATTGTTTCTATATGCAACAGATGAAAAGAGAAAGTTGTAAATTTAGACATAATTAAATAATTATACATTTCTTCCAAAATTTCGAGAAACTAAGGAAATACATGGAAAATTTATTTTTAAATTAAAGTTTCCATAAATATCTTCAAGTAATGTTCCTAGAAGGGAAATATAATGTAGAATTTATTATTAATAATATTCTACTAATACATTAATATAATAATTTTCTTTCAAATTTTAATTAAAATAAATACCCTCAATTCTAATCCAATATTTTGACTAAAGCGATGCAGGTTTTCTACTCTAATTACGCAGATGTTTTCATCATTCCAATTAAGAGTAGTATTTACTCTCATTTACAACGTGGATATTTTTTTTATTCCTTATTTTATTAATTTTAATTTTTTCTTATAATATTTATATACAATAATTTTAATATTAAAATTATAAAACTTAAAAAACTCAATTCTTTTATTTCTTTCCCTTTCCTTCTCTCTCTCTTAACAACCGATTCTAATAAACCAAAAGTAGAAAATTTTTAATTCGTATCGTTTAAATATGGCAAAGTATGTATCGGATTATAGTCGAGCGTGTGAACGTGAATCCGGTGAAGTCTGCGATGCAATAGTTCCACACGCAGCGTATGCACTTTTCTTCGGTGACGCGACATTTCGCTACTCAAGCTCACGGTCGTCGCGAAACGATCGGCGCGCGCGCGAATTCTCTGCTTCTCTTTCTCTCTTCGTCCGCTTCAAATACGAGTACAATTCACGCCTCACAGGGGCAAATCAGGAAAAAACGGTTAAAAATCTGTAAAATCTGTAAAAATGAATGGATTTCGATGAAATTTACGGGATATGTAAAGTGAAGGATGTATATTTGGATTATGGATTTATATGTATCTATTTACGGGCGTTTATTTGGGGGGGGGGGGGAATTATTCGCGCACCAAATTTTTAAATTAGTTTCATATACGTAAATTTGAACTGAAAATTCTGAGTTATGCATGCCAATATTATGCCTGCAAAGGAAATTTTCACTAATTATTAGGGGGAAATGTTAAAGAAGAGTTTTATCTAAAACACAACTTGTCTATTGTTGTATATAATGTATATCATTATTAAAAATGTGTTGAAAAACTGATCTTTTGCAATATTTGCCTTAAACGTAGTCTAGTGACTCAGAGACTGTTTAAAAAATAGTTACACATGCAATTAAATTTTTATTTTTTTAAATAAGTTTTAAACATCAGTGAATAATAAATTCAATACGTTGAAAACATTAATCGCCTTTAGTTAATTTTTAAGAGCAGCTCAAATTTTATCTAATATTTAATAAAAAACATAAATTAAATATAGCTATTTTTACATACTCAAAATAACATTGAATTTTTTAAATCCTTGATGTTTATAAAGTTTCTAATACTTTGAGATGTTATATAACAAATTTTAATAGTTATTATGGAAAATAAAAATATTGTTTAAAACCTATTTTTGGCCGCTGTTGCCCCACTGTGCGCCAGCCTGAAATAGCTTCGTTCCGATGACTCGTTTGGCAAGCGAAGCGAGACGCTCTTCGATTTTAGCATAAATGCCACTTTCCACCGGAGATTAGAAGTACTTTCCGCTTTCGCACTTACTTCCTCCTGCGGCCGGCGCGCGCCGAGCGTTTCATAAGCAACATCGATACTCGGACACCGAGACTATAATTAACAATTTAGACGCCGAGCTTATGAACGATGTTCGACACGGTGACGAAAATTCACGCATCGTTTCGCGACGTTTCCGAACGATTATCATCTCCTCGCGTCAATTATTATTGTTATAAGTTCATATGATGAACCTTATAAGTGATGAAATATGTAAAGTATTACAAATGAAGTATTACCGCACTGCTCCTTTTAATAATTTCACCGCGATAGAATTATGTGCAAAAGTTACGTAATTATTTGCAACACGCAATTATGGAAAGGTGAGGGTACCTGACTAGAGCAACGCGCTGTGTTGCTTCGACACTCCTGCAACGCGCACTGTATCTCTTAGTCCAAGTTTCCTGATATTTGTGCCCTTTACCGCACACCCTCTCCGTTTAATTCTACACCGTGATTCGTTATTTTCTTCCGATTCAATGCATCGGCCAGTCACCGGCGAGGTGTTGCCGTAAACGTCGAAGATAAATTATCTGTACGACCTATAATAACAAATAACGAATAATAACATATCATTTTGTGTTTAATACAATTATCATGAAAATATAATTTTTCGAAAACAACTGGAATTCTCATACTTTTCTAAGTGCAATATTATTTGTTATATTTCTTGTTACGTCTCGAACATCATTCGTCACGCACGTACGCATGTTTCGCGAAAGATTTTGCGATATACTGAGAATTTTTATAGAACCGCGTACATTTTTCTTTATTCGAAAGTGAAAACACAAAATCAGTTTGTTTTATCTTAGTCAGCTTAACGTGTACATAGAAAGAGAAAGAGTGAGAGAGAGAAAGAATTTATTTTTTACTTATATCTGTATTAATTATATAGATTTCTCAAAATAATTTGATATTATTTAATTTTTAACTTTACGTTATTTAAATATTTTATAATTTTTTAAAATATAAATTTCTTGTGAAGTGTCTATTTGAAAAAATAAAATTAAATACTTTGGTAAAAGTAGTTTTTGGGTAGCACAAACTAAATCTTTAATTCTAAATCGTTTTTTTTTTGCGTGTCGTCACGTAAATAATTTTTGTCAACAAGAATAAAATATTCCTGAAAAAGTTGGAATAAATAAATAGCATAATATCTTATGCAGGAGATATAATTTTAAGTTAAATTGCATCTGCGACAATCGAAATACTTTATGCATCAAGAGACACGGTATAGTGTCTCGCGCCAAGAGATCGACCGTGAATCTTTTACGCGACGCGACGAGTTGCGAGTACTCGAGATGTTGAGATATCAATAACGAGTGAACGGATCAAGTTCTAAGTTTTAAGTATATAGGCTTGATAGCTTGGAGTCGAGAATAAAAACAGGTAAAAGTAAAGAAAAATTATTTAAAAAGTAATTATTATATATAATTCTTTCTCTTATTAAATTAAAAAATTATTATTTTGCTCATTATAAAAAAAGAGAGAGATAAGGGAGCTGGCTTTAATTCACTTACCCCATATTTAGAAAAAAAAACAAGACGGAAAAATGGACTTATACGACGTTGGTTATACATATATAAAGCTTACAAAATTTTGCTTATTATAAAGAAAGAGAGAGATATGGGGGCTAGCTTTAATTCATTTAACCCATATCTAAAAAAAAACAAGACGAAAAAATGGACTCACACGACAAAGCTTGCAAAATTTTGTTTTTTTTCTCAGATGTACACGATATAGTTGTCGCAGGATACGTAATTTACGATATGAAAAAACTGACTTAAATCCACGATATTCCGTCGTGATCCAACCGAGGTACGAATTACACCATCAAGAACGAAAGTTTCCGATTGCCAGATGGTATCTCGGGAATGGCGAAACATGCGAAATGCATTTTCTATTTCAAGCCTATGTCTTTCCATAACATGTAGAAACTAGAAACTACTGATCTGAAAAATTTACGTTTGCTTATGTGATCCTTAACAACAGCTATATCGATCATTGGATAGTATTTTGCTCCGATCTGTCCACCCAGAACTGTGCCTGTCAGAACACTTTCAAGCTGCTCAACAAATATAACTTGGTTAGTTTAAAATTAATAAATAATTTATCTAAAATCTTATCTACAACTAATTTACGAAGTAAACTTTTGGATTAATGATATATAGAAAATATGCTTAATTCGTATAATATTAAAGAATTAAACAATTATAGAATTAAAGACATCTTAAATAAAAAAATGAGGTGCCCATTAAATTGAAATGTTTCTATTCATCTAAATAAGTTTAGATCTTTCTCTTATTCTCTTAATCTTAAACATTTCCGGCAAAAAAGAATACTTAACTCATTAAGAAAATCAAAATGTTCTGTTTTGCATATTGTTACAATTCTGACAAAAATATTTGTGATGTGCAGTAATAAAAATGATGATCACAATAAAGGACTATTACTAAAAAAATAACGCAATAATTGATGAACTTATCAATTAAAATAAATAAATGACAAACAATAATTAATTTTATTTTTCAAAGATTTAAGATTAATACTGAAAAATTATTAATATATAATTTGATATGATTGTTTTTCTGGAAAATTAATAGCACCAATAATAAATTAAGATATAAGAAAACTTGTCTCAAACAGTTATCGAAACCACACTCGAATGTTTGCGTTAAAGAATAAAATAATTTAGAGATTTTTATTAAAATATTTATAAGAATGTTTCTGTATTTACACCTAATAATTAATTTAAAATTCTAATTATTCGGATAATAACACTACTGCTTTTCAAGAGAAAGTTTAAACCAAGAAGTAGTATCTAAAAATTTCGTTACAGATTAATATAACCGCCTATCCATACATGTTAACAAGCAGTCTTTTTACAGAAAACATATCGCGTGCATAATGCCATAAGCGTAAATGCATAGTGAGTTAGAAATCAGATTAGATTCGCGTTTATCCGGTTTAGTTAAATATATGTTTTCTCTAAAATGCGCGCAACCGCAAATAAAGATATTCGCGAGTTACTCGAATTTACAGGAATATTTGGATCAATTTAGTAAGTTACATAACATGAACTTTAAATTTCTATCATCAAAATATAATTTTTAAATACTTAGTAAACCGTATCGTATTTTTAAATACTCAATGGACCATATCGCATGGCTCAACCGTGAAATAAGGAATTTTTAATTTTTATTTTCTTAGTAGAAAGTTAGTATAGCTGCTGAAAGTTTTGAAATATGTTCCTACTAACATGTGCGTGTGTATCACATTTGATACAATCTACGCATATATTTTTTGTGCTAATAAGTTACGATTTAATAGATACGCAATGAATTTCACTTTTCATGTTTTTCATTCACAATAGTATATTCACTTATTATTTTTATAAATTAATGTATCTCGCAGTATATAATATGTTGTTACCTCGAAAAAATCTAAGTAACAAGTGGTAGACGTAATATCTTTGTACCTCGTAAAAAAACCTAAGTAAGAAGTAGTACGTAATCAAGTGATTTATTACAAAAAAAGAAATGATACCTATCTCTTTAAATTACGGCGCCAATTACAAAGAGAGAACATATGTATTGCCTCAAAAAATAAAAA